ACTTGAATTGCATCAGGAGGAAGGTAAGATTTTTTTTATCAATGGTGAGATATGCTTTCAAATTGGTAAGAGTTCACAGTTTATAATGATATGATTTTGGCATTTGAAACATATAATCTGGCTTCTCCGTGAACTGTTTTACTGTGTTGCTCCCGACACAGAAAACTTTTATCCGACCCTGTAACGAATCAAATTTTATGCGTGCAATACAGTAAAAATTTTTCCGACACAGTAGGACCTGTAATAATCAGAAATTCCAGACATATCAATTCTCTCCAACTATGAAACTTTTATCAAACAATTCTACCGTCTTTCAATTCTAAAAGGTAAAACACTTAATTAGAGCTTCACCTTGCATAATCAATCATCTCCTAGACCCTCACCGGACTTTACGCATGAAGGAACGACAAGTAAATTGTTTTCACACTTCCATGTAACGGTTAATTGGTGGTTGCCTTAAAAATACATTGTATTATTTAAATAAAAACGTATTTAAATATGTTTTTTTCTGTAAAGCCACGCCTCTAGATTAAAGTATTTTACTATTCTGAAGATTTTTTTTGTAATTCGATCAAGAAAACTTACAAAAAATTACGACATATTACTTTCAAAAATTGTTCGACTGTATCGACCAGAATGTCCTCTGCTTTTACCATTTGTGTAACGAATAAGTTTTTTTTAATGTGTGCATGTTTTCTTTTGTATTCACAATGAATAGTTATTCAGTTGCGAATTGATCACGAAAATACCGCGAAATTTTAGTGCTTCGCATAAACTCTGCAACACAGTAAAATTTCAAACGATGGAGAACCCTGGTAAAATCGTATGATTCATACAATTATTGTGCATTTTCTCCATAAAATGTTTTGGGAAAAAAGTAGGAAAGATACTAGTATATTGCTTTCAAGGGTGATTGGTGATGTACAAATTTTATAGAGTAAATGTTTTATAGTTTAAATAGCAAAAAAAAAAATGTTATCAATTTTTAAATATTTATCCATGGATTGGCACTTCAGATATGGTAACAGATGCAAACTTTGTATGGAATTCGACAAAAGAACTGTTAAAGTTCAGTGACTGGGCGGAAAATGAATCAAATAATGGAGATAACTCTGAAGATTGCGTTCATGTATATGCTAGAAAAATATAATAGATCACTGGAATAACCGTACCGTTTTTGAAAAAAATATTTATTTGACACCGGGAACAAGCCCTTGTGGCTATTATCTAACTTTGTTCTCAGTGATCGAGTTTATGCATGTTGACAAAAAAAAAAAAAAAACCTTGTAGAAATAACGATAGAGACAAAATTATGAGTTGGAATAGATTTTGCGTAAATGATATTAAAATTACTTTAAAAGTTAGTTCAACAATTCTATATAAGATGCGTTAAAGTTAAATGAGGTTTAACTTTTAGTCACCATTAAGCTCAGCTTTAAGATGGCTTAATGGTAGCTTAATGAAGTTTGGACATTAAGCACCTATAAGTTGCAGCTTAATGGTGGCTTAAAGGAATTAACTTCTTTAAGCCACCATTAAGCTACCATTAAGCGATTGCTTAAAGGTAGTCTTTCGTCTTGTGCCTGTTCTCAGATAAGTAGTTACATTAGTAAAAGGAAATTTATTTAAATCATTTTTATTGTTTTTCATTTGATAACTGAGAAAGACATCAATATTTTTTTGCAATTTATCAATATGACGTAAATGTAAGTGAACGTTATACTTTATCTGTAGGCTAATATTTTCTTTTACTAAGTGTATCAAGATTAAAAAAACAGTTTGTCGTTTGTTTTCTTTTTAAGTACAGTTGTTTTTATTTTAGTCCCTGCGAAATAAATTAAATTTAAGGACAGATTATAAAACAAACTTTTGTCAAAAGTTTTTAAAGTAACAACCTGGGTGATGTTTTAATAAATTAAATGAAGTTTTACCGCGAAGTTTTTCATTTTTCATTTAAAGTTGCACAAAAATGGAATTCAAAGTGAAAAATATTTGTATAGAATAATAAGGATGGTTTCAGAAGGGTAGAATTTGAACGCCACAGAAGGTTTAAAATTTTTTTATTTTCTAGAAATTTATTATTTGCATCATTTGCAATGAAATAAGGTAAAAAAAATATACCAATCCAGCCATTCATTTTTTGCTTGTATCATCTGTCCTTATAAGATTAAATTTGAGATTTAATGTCCCCCCGCTTTCGCAAAAGCGGGGGACAAAAATATATTGGTATAAAAACAAACACGCCTAACTGATTAAAGAGAAATGAGTGTTAGAGAGAAAGAGAGAGAGAGAGGTTACATTGTGAACATTTACATGTAATTATAATGTTAACAACGTAAGTTTCAATTTAAAAAGAGATAAGTTTGAAGAAATTCAACTCAATCTAATTGTTACATGATATTACTAGGAACAATCTGGACATACACAAAATTTAAGAATGTTCTAGATCAAATGACCGAACAAGTTGACCACTCTGGAATGTTCAAGAAACTTAATGTTACTAATTATATACATAATGAAAGAATACACATATCACAACAGTATGGTGTTCAACCATTTTAACAATTTCTAGAATATTCTAGATTTATGATACTGTATAAATACCCTGTCAATTCGATGCATAGAGACACTTTTTTGTCGTATGAGCACCAATGAGATATAACTGGGATATATTTTCACTGGGACATTGTGTGCAGCAACGGACACTCTGATGTATGTATTTTTAGATTCTTGCTAAGTTTGTACTTTATGTTTCCTATATTTATTATATATTACTGTAAATAAATTATTGTTAAGTTAAATTGTGTTATTGATCTTTGCTGGCATTTAGGGTAATTCTGACCCATAACAATACTATTACCCAGCCTGTCCTATCTTTCTTCAATGATTTTCATCAAATGGTTATTTTGCAGCGTGAACTGATTATAATGTGATCTTTGAATTACCTCTTCCATTCTTTTCAGTCACCTATCAAATTACTGTAAAATCACATATTTTCAAGAGGAAATTTTCGTGGTTTGAGGAAACATTCAAGGATCAGGGGATTTGATTTCGTGTATGAAGAATGTTTAAGTAGATAAATATGTAATATTTTACATTTTGTAGTGGACATGAATTCGTGGGTCTCTTCATGCCTCGAAAACAACGAAAATTAAACCCCCACGAAAATGTGTGATTTCACAGTATATCATAAAACAAATATTGTAAATTGAGTGAGAGTTTAGATCTAGTTTTGATTATTGTGACAATTAATGAGCTAGCGGCATTTTTTTTTAATTAACTGCTTTTCTTGAGTTTCTTTATTTTTTCATTTTTCGTTCTTTTTCTTCATTTTAAATTGAATTAAAATATAAATTGTGGTTTTATAAAATATCAACAAGAAATTTCTACATCTATCTTTTTTTCCTGAAGAGAGCTTCAAATGAAAAAGTATGCAGAGAATTTTTGATAGGATTAACCGGTCAATCGGTCGAAACGACAATTAATCGATCGGCAATTCTAGATCTGTATTCGATTGTCATCCCAATAGTTTATCATATGCTGACTGACGTTTTTCATACTAAATGATAGTCTCTTATTTAAACACAGAATTGGCGACGGATTTCTCGCTATTTCTCGATAGTGACAAAGAGCACACGGCGGGTGTGACCGGTCAGCAGGGAATGCTTACCCCTCGATGGCAACTGACCCCATCTCCGAAGTTCTAGAGGTCCGTGTTTGCTCTGCTTCTGTTTTGTATTGTTCAAAAGACTTTTGATATTGCATACCGTTCATTATCTCCATACATTTCATCATAAAAATACATTATATAAGGAATAACATATAATATAACATAACTTGGAGCAGTTTTCGCTTTATATACTTATAAAAAGCGTAAACTGTGCCAAACTTGGAGCAGTTTATGCTTTATATACTTATAAAAAGCGTAAACTATCCCAAGTTTTGTTATATCGTATACTGTGGTTTCATCAATATTCGTTGAGCACCAATTTTCGTGGATTTCGTTGTTGAGCAGATCCAAAATTTCAAGTGTTCATCGAATTACGAAATATGACATTCACTTGTATAGGAAATCCACGAAATTACGTATTCTCGAAACTGTCTGTTTTACAAAATCCACGAAAATTGATGCCAAGGAAAATTGATGAAACCACAGTAACAATGGTTGAAATAAGCTTCATTTCTTCATAATTTAACGTCATTGTAGACAATAAGATAATTTTTCCTCTAAAACTTGCTTCAAATTGAGCATATTTTAAAGTTAATGTCAAGCGGAGTAATATGTTTTTGACTTGATTCATTGTGATGTAGCAAGTTATCTTATAGATGTACAATATACATTCTTTCATCCAATCAATGATGTGTAAAAACTAAAATGTGATATTTAATTAAAAATTTGAGCCATACCACAAAGACGATATTAATACAAGCCTTGTCCCTTTAAATCCTTTTCAAAAAGTTTTTCTTGTAAAACTTGGTTTCTTGAGAAGGAAGGATAGATGTTTCCCATTTTGCATTTGATCTGTTTAAAATAATTCTGTAATATAATTCCATAACAATACATGTACGTAGACAGACTTTTGTACAGACACCAGATTAATTTCACTGGATAAAATTTATCCAATATTACATGAATTATCAAACTTCTTGTATTTTATACAATTCAAAATTCCTACATAATAAACCTTTATCATTTATACAAATGGCCAGTTTGGCAATATATACATGTAGCAATCCTGATTATTTCTTTGATATGAACAAAATAAGTTTTTTTCACATTGCATTTTTACATGCAACATAAGCAATCTATAAGTACTGACACTTTTTTTTTGTTTTAAGTTCTCTGCATGCCTTTGTTCTACACTTTTTTTAAAAAGAAAATTTAATACATGTATGCATAAATCATAAATCAATTCCAAAAAGCTAAAAAAAAAAAAGATAAGGAAAATAAAAAAAGTCACAGGCACTCTTCAACTGAAATCTATGCACGTATTATAACGTCGCCCGCTATTGCTGCTTTGTGTGTATTATGTATTATTCCCAATGTAAACCAAAGCTTCTTCAACAATGCTTTTCACTGTTATGAGTGCCAATATATCTTGTGCAAGGTTTTGGTTCGGTCCTGTAACGTAGTTTGCAATTGGACGTACTTGGTTGTCTTGCAAAGCAAATTTTACTTTTGCCGCTTCGAACTTTAGCTTTGCATGTCTGCTTCTAAACACACTGCTTAGATCACCATCACTATAGAGATCAAGTTCGTCAACCTTTGTTAAAATCAGTCTAAGAGGAATATCTGAAAATATTTTAACTTAAATTTTGATGTTTAAATATAAATTTGCATGTTAAATAACATAATTCAAATGATAATGATTTATACTTTCGGATCCAATATGTTTTCTTATTTGTGCCAATTTCTTCATATCGTCCACATGTATTTCATCAATGGACTTGGCATCCACAACAAATATAACGCAGTGTATTTTTTGATCAAAAGTCGGATTAGCCCTGTAAAGTTGGTTGTTTTGTCCAATGTTTTGATTTCCCTGGAACTAAGAATTTTTTTAATAGACGTAATGAAAAGAATTTGAAGAAAAAAAAATCGAAATTCATTACATCTTTATTACATGCAGTTTTTAGAAGTTATTTGAAGTTATATTAAAAATTTAAAAGATAAATTTGTTTAAGTTTCATTAGGGTTGCTGAACTTCAGCATTTCAAAATCTCTAGTTTATTCCTAGAGCCATAACAAATAAAATTAATAACTCTGTGCTTGAATATCATTTTCATATTTTTTTATTTAATGGAGAAAGTATTGTCAAACATCTTTTTTAAGCAATTTAATGTTTTTTTAATAAATATGTCTAAAATAAATGATGTTTTACTTTGAAATAAAAAATTGTAAATGATATTAAAACTTGGGAAAAGAGTGCACTAAATAAAAAGGCGACAAAGTATGTTTGTTGTTCAAACTGCCACAAGAGCATGATTTGCTCAGATTGAGGCGCCACCACTTGCCGACTGAACTTTTGTCCCTTTTTGTCCTTTACTCGACACATTTGGCAATCGAGGAATAAGGGGATCTTTTTCGTGCCAAAACCTACTGCGATAGGAGACCTAAGTTCATAGGGTCTCATCCGATGGACCGTTCTCCATGTCCCACGGTGGGATTCGAACACATAAAATAAGGATTAACTCAATTCTCCGAAACTAAAGAGCATATACCCTAATAACCTCTGCACACACGGCAGGCACGGATGCAGAAATTTTACCAGGGGGGTCCACCCCAGTCCAGAAAAAAAAACAACCCAGAAATTTCTTGACAAGCAAAACAAAATCGCCCAAACATCAATAACCAACTGTAAAAGGAGAAAATTTGGCGCATACGTATTAAATATTTTAGCGCAAAGGCCATTGGGAATATATTGGCGCAAGTAAATTATAGCGCTTGCACTTGTCAATGAAATATATAAATGTGAAATTGTTATTTTAATCGACGCCCCGTTTTTGACTTTTTGGTTAGGCAAGCACCTTAATGAAACTTACCTGCACTTATGTGAAAGTATCGAACATACACAACAAAATTATATTTAGAATTCCGTCAGCGCACAAATTTTAGCGTTCAGGGGTTCTTGTGCCAAATGCTATAAAATTAGTAGTACGCAAAATATTCTCGTTTTACAGTATTTTGTGTGTGTGTGTGTGTGTGTGTGGGGGGGGGGGGTAATCGATGACGTCTATTACCTCAGCCTTTTCACTTCTCATACCCATTTAACACAAATCGCGTTTATTTTTTTCTTGCTTTAGTATATGATCTATTAACCTTGCAAATTCAAGGGGTTGGGTGGGGGAGGGGGATCCTGACCCCCGCCCCCTGTAGATCCGCTCATGCACGGGCGACTCGACATAATTAAGATGAATATCAAAAATACCAAGGAAAGTTTCTCTTAAAGAGGCTTTAACATGTTGAAAAGACTTGTTTCAGCGTTCATTGCATGTGACCTTCAAGCGCTGTACGGTTATCCAAACGTTTTTTAAACAAGATTTAGCGCTAAAAATACTTTTTACTATTGATTTGAATACAAAAATTAAAAAAAATTTAGGAATCAATGTGACTGCTTCTTGTCGCCCGATACTTGTGTCGGTCGATCATGTTCTTATAGCCGAAAAGACCAGAAAAATTAAGTCGCCCGTCCATTGGCTTAAATATGACCTAGGCATACCAATTGCTTAAGTATCAGTCATATTATCCAGCGATGGTGTATACATGTACGATGAGATTTTTTGATAATGGCGTGGTTGCCGTTGTAACGACGAAAAGTGACCCCCGGAGAATATTGACCGGGGGTCATTTTTCTACGTAGAAATGTGACCCCCTGGTCAATATTCTACGTAGAAAAATGACCCACTTTTCCGTAGAAATTATGGCCTTGGGGTCGTTTTTCTCCGTGTGCATTGTAGAAAAATGACCCCGTAGAATAATGACCCCTTGTCATTTTTTGATGCAAAAACATTCGTTTTGGTAGGAATATTCTTGTTAGGTGAATGTATACGGGTAATATCAAGTTGCCTCATGCTTTGAAGTATTAGTTCTAAAAGCTTTTCAGCCTAGATAACGAAACCAAAGCTTTACAATACCTTACATTAATAATACAAACTGTTTTATTACAAACAATATTAAAATGTTCTAACTAAAGGCTGTATATTAGAGCAAAGATACGCGCATTCATAGAAACGTTTATTATATTTTATACAGTAAGTTTTTACAGTTGCCATTTTAATCTTTAAAAAAGGTTATTTTCTAGCTGCATGGTCTTATAAAAACGTTTCCATAATTAATTAATTATAAATCTCTATGATTTTACCCTATAAGTAATATGCAAAAATCAAAATAGAGTTTTATTTTTCAAAAGTTTAACGTTTTCGATCCCTACATTTAAAACTGGCGCTAGCTTAGAAAAATAGATTTCATTATATATATTATTTATATATTATATATTTATATATTATTATATATTTATTATATAGATTTTATTAGATTTTATGAAAATATTTGGTTTTCTATGACTGAAGTTTCAAACTTCTCATAAAAAATAGGGATGATTTAATTGTAAAAATAAGTACGACATTATATTGCCTCTGACCTATGATACAAGGGAAACAAAATGTGGTTAGCTCAAAACCTGTAAAATGTTTTTTGTCGTTTGCTAGTGTCAACAAAACCATAACAAAATGGGGGTTGTAGCATAAAACATAATTGAATACAAAAAAGGAGTGCGCGTCTTTCCAAAAATTGGCACATATAGTATCGTTTTCCCCGTTCTACATGTACTTACATATAATGATTTTAGGAGTTTTTTACCAATAGAAAATAAAAACAAATGTTGGGTGATGAAAAAGTGATTATTTAATGTTATTCTTATGCCCCTGTAAACGAAGTTTCGGGGGTATATAGTTTTTTACCCATCCGTCCGTCTGTTTGTATAATTGACCGCATAAATCTTGGCCATATGTTTAACCTGTGGGACTATGTGGGACTATGGCTTTCATATTTCACAGTTGTATTTTTATGACAAGACCCTTCTTTTTGTACAACCAACTTTGACCTTATGACATTGACCTTGGAGTTTGAGACACTTTTACCCCCAAATTCCACACTTTTACGTTAGCATTAACTTTTGGACGGTATGAGCTAAGACTTTATATCGAAGTAATGGCATGATAGACTAATAGAGTCCCCATCCATTAATTTGCAAAGGTAATGTCTATAAGTCTCAGAAGAAAGGGGGTGTAACAGCACTATTGGTCATGTGTTGTGAGCTAAAAAGTGTTGAAAAGGGAAGTTTTTTTTTAAAATTTATAGTTATCTCTGAAGATTCAACTGTTATTCACTCAGATGTAAATTTGGGAAGATTTTTTAATATCATCATAAGAATGTTCTCGATGTGTATGGTATTTCCTGTATATACATGAAAAAAATTAGTACTTTATATAAGGTAGTTAAAAAGTGTGTATTTTAAAGCAGAATGCATAACCCCGCTCCTTCAACTGGCGTTGGAATTTCATAAATATTATGGATTCTATTGAAAATTACGCCAGACAATGGGCCCGATATGAAAAAGAAGACGTTGACACTTTGTCAGAATGGATTAAATATATCAGATCCATGTTTAAGTCGTGTATTAATTAAAAGATTGAGGGACAATATGAAAACCATCCATCCTTCTGTGTTCAATAATCCAGAAGTGAAAAAAGAATTAGATAAATTACATGATCAGTAAGTACTGGTCCCTGCCGACAAAGCAGGTAACAATATTGTCTTCGTTTGTAAGGCTCATTATATAAATAATATTTTAGAAGAATTTGGATTTAATACTAAAAGTGTTAATCCTTCTTTTATTCATACTTCCCTTTCTGATGAAGAAATTCTTGAAAATCATATGCCAGTTTTAAATATTTTTAATATTCCACATAGCCAAAATGAATTTGAACTACCCTATGTATATTGGATACCGAAAGATCATAAGAATCCTTACAAACAAAGATACATTGCAGGTTCCCGTAAATGTTCAACCATGCCTCTTTCGTTACATCTCACTAAGATATTGACAGAAATAAAGGAAAAACTTCAAGAGTACTGTGCAACAATATATTCAAGAAGTGGTGTGAATCAGATGTGGATTTGAACTTTTGAACAATTTGAAATCACAAGATTTTACCAAAATCAACAGCTTAAAAACTTCATATGCAGAAGAATTTGTGCAAGATCTTATGTGAAAAGAAGAAAACACTTGCTGTGGCCTTCAACTCGACATTTAGATATACCGACGACGTATTGTCAATTAACAATGGTAATTTCCATTCCTACTTCGATACGATATATTCTGAAGAGCTTGAAATAAAAGATACCACAAAGTATGACGCATCTGTTTTATACTAGGATATTTTACTTGAAAAAGACGTTAATGGTAATCTCACAACCGTCAACTTCCCTTACTTACGCAGCAATAAACCTTTATCACCTGCATACGAAGTGTATAATTATATCTCAGTTGATTGGATACGGAAGAGCATGATCTACGTATGAACATTTTCTTAAATGAGGTAAATCATTGACAAGCAAGTTTATGAAACAAGAATATTCGTTTGATTTCATCATTTCGTATGTTCTATGGTCGATACAATGACCTTGTCAGCAAATACAATTCATCATTAAGTCAAATGCTGACTGACGTTTTTCGTGCTAATGGTTAGTCCATTAATTTTACATTGAATTGACGACGGATTTTTCCGTTATTTCCCGATCATGACAAGGAGCACACGGCGGATGTGACCAGTCAGCAGGGGATGCTCACTCATCCATGGCACCTGATCCCACCTCTGATTTTTTCGAGGCCCGTGTTTGCTCTGCTCCTATTTTGTATTGTTTTATGGACTTTGCATTGATATTGAATACTGTTCGCTATCTCCATATCCTTCTTCCATACAGATGTATACATTGTATGTAAGTTTAAATGTAAGAGCTAAGGGAATTGTATTTATATAGTTAAATAACGTTGTTTTTCTTGCTTCTATGCTATGTTTTTGGATTTATAAAAAAAAAATTCAAAGTTTATAGTAATCAGAAACAAATCATGCCATTTTCGGAACAAAACCTTTGAATGATAAAAAATACCCAAAAATAAGAATAAATTTATGCTCCTCGATGAATAAATATTCATTGGGATTCTGCAAGCCAAAAATAAATCCATACCAAATACATTGATAGTGATGCTACTATTAAGATATACTATCAAATATATGATGGAAAGAATTAAAGTACATCAAAAATTCCCCCTACTTGCATTAGAAAGTATGGAAAAATATCAGGAGACACATATATAAGGTTTTATTCTATAAAAAAGTAGGGGGTCAAATTCTATGGGGGTCATTTTTCAACGTGTGTGGAGTCGTGGAATTACTGGTCTGGAATGTTTTTCTACAGTCGAAAAATGACCCTACTTGTCGTAGAATATTGACCCGGGGTCATTTTTCTATGTAGAAAAATGACCTCCTCGTCAGTATTCTACGGGGGTCATTTTTCGTCGTTACACCGGCTGGACACCCATAGTAATCGGCCATTTTGCGATCGGATGGGGTCATCGGAAGAAAAAAAGTAATAGTAAAAAAATAGTGGAAAGTCGATGCCCCACATCGCTCCTCATCGGCAACCCATCATTTACACATCTTTTAAGGACTAGCCAATGTATGGCCGCGTATCGTAAGGTGTCCGTTGAATCTGAAGTCGTAAGGGGTTGAGTGACGGGTAACAGACATCGGCTGATCATGGGTCGATGATCGACCAAACATTGGCCCATATTGGGCTATAGTCGACCGGTGTACGAACGATGTTATGGTTAATGTCTTAGTCACATATCCCGGCCGGTAGCCGTAGACCGGTGGTGATCGGTGGTAATCGATGGTGTGAGCGATGCCCAAACATCAATTTACATTGGCCCAGTAGTCCTTAACGTACCAGTTATTTCATCCAACGATGGGGTATGCGATAGGCAAACCAATGCGTGTTTTAATAAAAATGACGTGGTTGCCGGCCGGACATACAAAATCCCAGCGATGCATTGCTAATTATAAAACGGTGTAACAGGGTAATCGGCTGAGGTATATTACATCGCGCAAATATTTGTGAACATTGTTCATACGTCGGTCGACTATGGGCCAATGTTTAGTTTAACATCGACCTATGATCGGCCGATGTGTGTTGCCTACCACACAGCCCTCCGATGACCTCAGATTCAACGGACACTTTATGATATTCGGCCATACATCGCCCGATGCTTGAAAGATGTGTTAATGATAGTATGCCGCTGAGGAGCGATAGGAGGCATGTTTGGAGACATCGCTGATTTTTAACAACAACTTTTCTACCGATGACCTACACTGAATCGCCAAATGGCCTCAGTACATGGGTGTCAAAAAGCATCGGTTTTTCATCGTATATCCCATCACTGGACGATATCCGTGATATTTATCAAGCTATTTGGTATACGATGGACAATCTATGCTTTTTTTTTTTAGCAAAATGACGTGGTTGTCGGTCTAAAACCCCAGTCACATTTCCAAACACGACCAACGGCCGACGGGTTTTGAAGCAAAAATGGGATTCTTCGGGTGACAGTCGTCAGTTCATTGGCCGTTGTCTTGGCCGATTTTGACCTTTTTTGTCGGCCGAACAAATTTGTGTCCATCGGTTCAAGTTATAATTTTTCATGCGTCGGTGGCCGATTTCTTCAAGTGCAGTTATCCGTCGACCAACCATCGATCATCGTCCGACCATCGGCTGTCAGTTTATTAAGTCGGTCGTCCGTCGTTGGACAATAAGGGTGTTGAAAATTTCGGCCGACGGTTAAAATCAAACTGTAGCTCAGAGCTCGATGATTGGGCGACGATTGGCCGACTTGTGATTATTTAACCTATTAATGATACATAACACAAACAAAATTTTGATGCATGGATTGATATAAATTTTTTGAACAGAGATAACATAAATAATTATTCCGTAAGATATAAAGAAATCCTAAGTATTCTTTGTTGCATATATATGCACCATTTGTCGTTTTTATGCAATTCCATACAAATTTTACACACATTTTCAACATTGAATCACAATTTTGTAAGATTCTGTCACTTTGCCTAGCAAACATTACTCACGTCACCTATCTGAATACAGATCTATGAAAAAATATTGCTGATTTCTAAAGAAAAAAGATTTTTTGTGTTATTTATTCAAGTCATCGGTGTCCCTAGGAAATAATATGACTGCTCCGTGTCGTCCGATACTGTGTCTGCCGATCCTGTTCTTTCAGCCGTCAAGACTAGAAAAATTTAGTCGCCGACCATCGGCTTAAATGTGACCTAGGCATTACTTTTAAAGGCCCAGAGATACATCGCTGATCATAGACCGATGTTCGAGCGGCAGTCGGCTTATGTAATTAACACCGCCATACATCTAGGAACATCGTTCGTACAGTACATAGGTCATACATTGTTCGACTATGGGCCAATGTTCAGTTACATCAATAGATTATTGGCTTTTTTCAATTTCCCCCTTCCCCCGATGACCTTAGATACAACGGCACTGGACGATGTACGGCTATCCATCGATTGGTCCTTAAAAGTTAACATTGCGTGAATGATGGACTGCTGATGAGGAATACCTTAATATTTTATCGTTTGACCTTGAGCTTAGAGCTTTTCTTTAATTTGAGAAACTATAATCATTGCCATGAATTGCAAAATGGAGGCTTTCCTTTTTAAAAAATGAAATATTTCAAATATGCTTATCAAGGTCACTTGTTTATTATGCCAAAAAAATCGATAACATTTTAAATAATGTTAACCAAGTTTTATTCGCGTCAACTTTTACTGGTGATTCTTCATATTAAAAACAATCAGCGACGATTAATTTTCACAACTGATGAAACGTTTCTCTGCAATACTAAGCAAATTGGTTAGTTCGTGGCGATTAATTTGCGCAATTAAAGTACAATGCAGAATGGCGGATATTTCTCGTATGCAAATAATTTTACAATATATGCAAGGGCTAATATTTGTTTCAGATAATAATTTCGAAAATATTTTATTTGTTTACTTTATGCATGGGAGTCTAAATCACCCTATCAATGAATTTATATGTTTACAGTATCCACGAATTAGTTTGTATTTTATTCTGTTACATGGCTAATAAATAGTAATAATAATAAAAAACTAACAAAAAAATCTAGAGAATTATAGCGTTCAATATCAAGACCTTTTATTGAAAGCTGCGTTTGTATTATCATGTTGTAAATCTTGCATTTACCTCCCCCTAGTAAATTCAAAACCTTTTTAGTCAAGAAATCTGTTTTATTAAGTATAATCATAAAATCTAAATTATAATTCTATTTCATTTCTGTTTTCGTATTAAGTAAATTTTTATTTAAAATCTATAAATCATTTCAATTACATTAAATATTTCTAAGGAAACTTAGATTGTACTTTTAACATGTTTTAGATGAAATTCCTTTGTAAGAAAACTTTTTATAAATGCAAAATGTAAATTTTGCATTTACCTCCCCCTAGTAAATTCAAAATTTACAACATGATAGTATTACGTATACAAGTATGCCCGAGACATTCCGAATACGAGATTTAATATCGGACGCTCCGTTGTAAACAAAAATATCGTCTGGCCATATTCTCATAGCTAAATTAAAGAAAGGAAGTGTCATCTAGGTGAGATGTGTTTATTTTGCACAAAGAAATGAAATTATTTATAAAAAATCTAGTATGATTAGACCCTTTAAAACATAAATAAGCATGCAAATCATAACGCTCGGTAGGATGATTTGAATTGTATGATATTGAACACTTATAGGACAGGCTTTAATTTGAATACCGATACTAAAAAGTCATTAATTTGTTATATAATAAAGGAGTTATTGAACTTATATTGGAGAATATTGGCACTCATTGGCTGTACAAATGGACTTGCAAGTTCGTGCATTTGAACAGCCATCCCGCCAATATTCACGAGTAAATATAACTCTATATTATTTCATGGAAAACTTGTTGATGTTGCTAAGTTTCATTTTCACCAATACATAATACCTATCGTATCAGGATGTATTTAAAGTTTGTTGAAAGTAAGCCCCGGGAATTTTGAACAATATTTAGGGTATAAAATAAATTTACAGACTTAATCACACTTTTTCATGTAAGCATCACATCATTATTTCAACATTTTGTTAAAATATATATTGACTACTTTGTACAGGTATATTGGAATTGAAACGATAAGATAACGTTTTAACCGTACCTCATAGCCATTTTGAACATGACCTTTGATAACAGAAATGATATCATGCTGAATATCACCTGCATTATCACAGATACCTCGACAATCATACAGTCTTAGTTTTTTTCCTCCTGGGTAGTCTTTTAACAATATTTCGTGAAGCTAGTAAGAAAAATGCTAATCATTATACAAAATATGCAACGGGAAGTTAATTTTCTACAAAGCTTTAATACAATATATTTTCTGAAATTTCTTCAAATATTAAAGTTACTTAAAAAATAACTTTTAGAGACACTTCATTGTTTTTAGATTCAAAGATACCTTCAATGTCGTTGAGTCCATATATTGTCCGTATGTCGTAGCTATATTTGTGATCTCCCCAGAATTCCTCAGTACTGTTTTAAAAGTGTTTACAAGTGATGATTTTCCAGATCCAATGATACCAGTCACAAGAATGTTTAAATTCAAGCATTGTTGTGGTGGGACTAAATTATCCAAATCTTGCAGCAGTTGATCTTTTTTCTACAGAAAGAAACGGTATACCTATCAATAATTTCATTCACATACATGTAACAAAGTAATTCATATGTTCCATATTATTTGCAAGATGTTTTAAATTTGTTTGTGTGGTGGAACGTATAAAGAATTTTTATATAGCATATTTCAAAGGCATTGGAATTTTTAATCATAATGTTGAATAATGACATGAGTGGGTTTCAGAGATATCTTATGGTTAAAATTTTGAGGTAATTCAAAGAATTATATAGCTATGTATTTAAAATAACAAAAAAGTTTTCATATTTTCCCAGTTTATTTGGATCATAAAGATCAAACTGTCACGGTAGATCAGTCGGTAGATCGCTCACTCCATGATTGGAAAGTAATGAGTTCGAATCTCAGCTGCGGGTGAAGACGTAGATAAAAATTTCTATCAATTGTATCTTCGACATGCTCTCGGCACATTAAATGAAAGATGCGGAATACTCTAAATATGGCCATTGAGCAGTGAGCGTTCACTTTATCGTATATAACGCTTACCGTTAGGTTTTCATGGACATATCTGAAAGACCCGTGACTTTCATTTCTAATGCCGAGCGATTGGGGAAGTGTCCTATAAAAAAAAATTTTTTTAATTAAAATTTGTATGCACATATTTTGTGTAAACCAACCCGATCGACACTCGGGCCGTGCTAGAATAGGACCCCACTAGAAAACGTGAACGGCTTATTGCTCGCTTGAAGAACTTCTTTTTGAGTTCCCTGACGATCCTGCCCGAAGATTCTGTCAGCTTCCCTGACGATTCTACCCAAAGATTCTGTCAGCCACGATCTGCGTTCCTTTGCCAGCTATGAGTCTTATTAAACAGAATCAAGACAAACTCCGACCAGCGTTTTAACTTTAAATATGGATCTGACAAATTTTGATACAGGTCGGTGTGCTCTGGACGGCTGTCCGATTCTGCTCTGGACGGCTGTCCGATTCCGACTAATTATACAAATCAAATTCAACAGTATATATAACAATTAGAATGTGACATGTGTAAAAATGACATTTAGAGATAAATAGATAAAAAGTCTTGACAACTGAGTAAAACCTTAAAATGATTGAGGGCCAGATTATCGCCCTTTTGATGTTATTTTGCCTAAAGATAATTTTAACAATATCAAACGATGACAATGAGCTTGGATTACCTGAAATGTCCGGTGATATAATTCAATAAAGATAAAGAGATGTAAATTAAACAAAGAAAATAATTTGAAAAGCTCTAAAATTTAGAAAGAATTGTTTTAAAAACATAAAACATTAGCTTAATCTTAGAAACTAGAAAAATCTTTCAAAACAATAAAATTTCATCGTGATAGAAGGAACAGTCACTACAATGTACCTTTGTTAACATCTTAAGTTTGACGCGGCGCCGCGTAGTAGATTTTACAAACTGATCAACCTTTACATTAATTCTGTTTGCAAACTGAACAATGTCACATTATGATGTGAACATTTATACGATTATTCAACAAGTAATGCTTTCTTGCAAACACATGGAAAGTGTGTCTCTCTGTCTACTTCGGAATGATTGTTCTTAAATCAAAGTTTACGAAAATTAAACTTTTACTCATTTCTGATGAATAATTTCACTTAAAATATATTTTAGACGTTATTTGACATGTTTTCTTGTTACTAAAACATGACATTATAATTAAAGACAAATGAACGCATCTGATTTAACAAGTTTTGGTAAAATATTAACTGCATTTAAATGATTATATGATTTCAGTGAAAGTGAAATGAATTTCCACAAGATTTTTCAAGGACTTAACAAAGACATAAATCAATCTAATAAATCATGTTGAATTAAATAGTATACATGTTGTAAATAGAATTTATTAACATGTCCATATATTTAGGCAATAAGACAAAACATACATTCAGTAATTCAGAAGGAAAAGAAAACAACTGAAGTAGATAATTCCCAGTTGAGAGAAAAGTAAAAGGGTAAATTTAGATATGATGACAACCAAAACAGATTTATTTTTAATTCTCAACTACCCATAACAAAATTTTCATTCATATCATCATATAGAACATTACATGCATTCTAGTTAAAATTCATGAAATGACAATGGTTTTCAGAATTCCTATTAGTAAAACTTGTTTTGAAAAAAGGGAATATCACTACATTCTGAAAAACTTTCTTAAGAAAGAAATCAAAGGAAAGTTTCATTTTTATGCTTCAAAATTGTAACAGGGATATAAATGATAAGACGTAGACCTTGATTTAGTTTCTACCCTTTACATTACTCTTATATTATACAATTAATTACCTTGTGAGGTCAACTTGGTGAAATAAGGACCCCAGACCTGGCCCACGAGGTGACCTGTCCTGATCGAGGCCGCGTAGCGGCCGAGGTCAGGGCAGGTCATCGAGTGGGCCAGGACGAGGGTCCTTATTTCACCATGTTGATCTCACAAGGGGTAATTAATTGTTTTATTATACCGATATATATTGAAAAGTATGAATCTCTAACCGTAATTAATTCTTTCTTTGATCGGGATCATGATTCGCTACATACTGGATAGTTAAGTTGTTTACATTGACGTCTGCAAGTCGTGTAAAACCCCAGTCACATTTCCAAAAACGACCAACGGCCGACGGGTTTTGAAGCAAAATGGAATTATTCGGGTGATAGTCGTCAGTTCATCGCCCGTTGTCTTGGCCGATTTTGACCTCCTTTTTTGTCGGCCGACCAATTTTGTGTCTATCGGTCCAAGTTATAAATTTTCATGCGTCGGTGGCCGATTTCTTCGAGTGTAGTTATCCGTCGACCAACCTTCGATCATCGTCCGACCATCGGCGGTCAGTTTATTAAGTCGGTCGTCCGTCGTTGGACAATAAGGGTGTTGAAAATTTCGGCCGACGGTTAAAATCAAACTGTAGCTTAGAGCTCGATGATCGGGCGACGATTGGCCGACTTGTGAATATTTAACCCATTAAGGATACATAATACAAACAAAATTTTGATGCATGGATTGATATAATTTTTTTGAACGGAGATAACATAAATCATTAAACCGTAAGATATAAAGAAATCCTAAGTATTCTTTGCTGCTTAGATATGCACTATATGTCGTTTTCATGCAATTCCATACAAATTTTGCACACATTTTCAACATTGAGTCATAATTTTTTAAGATTCTGCCACTTTGCCTTTCAAACATTACTCGCGTCACCTATTTGAATATAGATCTATGAAAAATTTTTGCTGATTTCTAAAGAAAAGAGATTTTTTGTATCATTTATCCAAGTCATCGGTGTCCGTAGGAAATAATGTGACTGCTCCGTGTCGCCCGATACTGTGTCGGCCGATCCTGTTCTTTCAGCCGACAAGACCAGAAAAATTTAGTCGCCCGACCATCGGCTTTAATGTGACCTAGGCATAAGTTTTTGTATCATGATTTACTGATTTAATCAATATTTAGTTGATAGCAACATACATTGTTATAACTAACGATTACTTTTCCTCTACACAGTCAAAATCTAACACAGAATTCAACTCTTTCAAGAGCCGCCTCTACATTCTATTGAACTGAATTGTAACGGTATATTGAAACGATATATTGTAACGATAAAATTTTACCGTATTCAGTATGGTAATGCAAAACAGACCATGCACACTTTTAAAAACATGTTGTTTTTTCGGATAATTATTATTTTATGCATTAACTTCACTCAAAAACGAATTTTTGATTAAGCGGTCATTTTTAGCGGTCATTAAAAATAATGACCGGGACATATATCCCACGTGCAATGATTCCTAGGTCAGTATTGCTGTAAACAGTAGCATTTGGAGTCATTGTTGTGTTTTAAAGTTTTCTTACCAGCCAATAAAATTCGAGTATTATCAATAGAGGTATAATAAATGTTTTTTTTAATTGGTTTTTGTTCTCATAATACAATTATGGACTCTTTTTGGTGTTTGAATATGGTTTGTTATTCATCAGAAAATATCAATATTGACTGAGACGAATTTGCGAACTTCTGTCGTTGAAACTAAAAGAAAATGTCAAGATTACAGTTTTAATCCTCCGTGTATTCCTTTCAAAGTTTCGCTATGTGCAAGACGTCCAAATGTTTAAAACTATTTATACGATAGGTTTGTCTAACATTTTTCCTGCTGAGGTGTCAGAGGATAGTATCGATTTAAGTATCGGTCAAAAAGTAGAGAAGTCAAAAAACATAGAGAAACCTAAGGTTTGAATGCATATTATACATGTAGGTAAATTTATAGCTAGAATATTTTATGGATGCATTTCGAGGGAATTGGTGGCCTTGTATATTTTATTGCAATGTGACACTTTAGTGTCACTACTACTGTATATGGGATATGGACTTGAAATACGAAACTGAGATCGAAAGTCACTCTTCCGGTATTTCGGCAGAAAAACGGGGTGGGTTCATAGGATGAATTGTAGCTTGAAAACGAGGTGGTTGAGCCATTATCTATTGCTGTTCAGTGGTATATACTAATGTTGTTCTGCAAATTGTTTTGTAGCTTAAGGTCATCAGCACGGGCCTGGAAGCAGTTGCGGCTGCGGCGAAATAGTGAAAAAAGGCTTGATTTACATGAAATTTTGAGATTTTCCCAGTGCCTTCATTAGGACTCATTGTGTGAGTTGTACATGTTTTATTCCTTATAGCTTGAAATTCCTCAAGGGACTATATCATACTATTATTACATGTAGAGAGAGAATTTAATTTTTTTCAATGCACATTTTAAAAGCAGCTAAATGTTAAGTAATCGGTCAGTCAAACGTTTTGATTGCAAAAAAAGAAACTATCCTCTGCCACCTTAGATTTCACAGCTGGCTGTTGCCGTTGCAACTATCGTTTACAACGTTGTCTGAGATTTTGATTGTGATGTCACAGTGCAGTTGCACGCGCACTGACCCTCCGGTGAATACGGCCTAAAATCCAGTGAATATGTAGTGTCAAGAACTGTTTGAATAGATTATATGGGGACTAT